TCTGAATATATTGTTTTTCTTTAATACACTACACAGTTAGTCTTTTAGAGAGCCCATTAAATTTCCACTGCAATGAATCAGATAATGTGTTCCTTTGCCAACTTTAGATTTAATGTTAATAAATCTCTAATTACTTACAAGACAGAGAAGAGGGACATATATCTAGGGGTTGTAATTAGGTAAATGTGGAAAATCGGTACAACTTTTTTGAAGATTATTATACTATATATAACTATCATAAGGTATAAGCCTATCAATCATTGTGATAGAGAAAATTAAGCTGTCAGGGGATTCTCCTGTACCCTTCTGGATTTAAGGTAAAAAAAAGTGCATTTAATGAGCACTGTTAGAAAAAATCAAATCTGTTTGAGACTGTTGTATTCTTATGGTGCTAAAAATAATCGCTGGTGTAATCTCACTGCTCCTGTTTAGTTACACCAGCAATAACTTTGAACCATGAAATTAAAAGCAGGTATGTCTTTCCAAGAGCAATTTTAAGTCATTACAATGTAACTCTAAGTCTTTCACATTTCCATTTATGTTTGCCTAGAGGAACCACTCAGTAGTTACTATCAGCCAAGCTACTTATTGTCACTTATGCAAGCCTTTGTGTACAAACTTTTATTCTGCAAAACAGTTTAAAGTATAGAGATTATGAACTGCTTTGTTGCTTAATTATATATGTTTTTTTGACCCTATGACTTACAAATTCCATCTGTGAAAATTTGACTGTAGCAGATGCTGCTGAGCTTGGGATGAGGAGAGGAGAAATTGTCTCTGCACAGATATCTCACTATTTTAAATAGAAATGAGGAAAAGATACATGTCCATGACGCAGCTGATAGTCTAGCTCAGATTCAACCCATAGGATATTTTCATTTTGTCTTTCTAGCCTTTTCCCCTGATGAAAAGAGAAACTGGGAATGAGACAGATAAACCTTAATGTCATGGCACTTGTCCACAGCCTTACAGCACTTTCTAAGAAGGCAAGAGGGGATAAAGACAGAAGTTTACTCAAGGAATTATTGTGTACTCTTGCTGGTTGGGAAAGCAACAAATGTCGGGAGTCTGTGCCTCACAGTGACTAACTATTTACTGTGGACATGTAAGATGGGGTATTGTAGGTAAGTGTCCTTTTCTAAAAAATAGAAAAGATTAAGGAAATGTGTATGTTTTTGAGAGGTGTAACATTCAAAACTAATACAAGTTACAGTAGCAAAGGTGAAAAGTAGTACTTGATCAATATAATCGGAAAGATAAAATGAAAAGGTTATTTTATAAATTTGGGAAGAAGGTGAAGGAGGAAAAATAGCTATGCTCTTTCTAACAAAAAAATGCAGACTGTGTTTATGTATGTCTGTAAAGTGACATTCTAAGGAAGAAAATTGGGAGAAATACTACAAAATAAACAAGAACGAAAGTCTAATAATGCAAGATACCTACATAATGGGGAAGGGCAGTTTGCCTAGAGAAAGGCAAGCTGAAAGTGTGTTGTTTCTGTGTTCCTCCCAGACACTATAGAATATTCTACGTACTGAAAAAGATTAAAATGTTCTAAACTTTTCTTACAGAGTTAATAGAACTGAACAGGAAGAGGGCTGTAAGCCTTAACTCCCATGGCTTCTTAAGGGTAATAAATAACAAGTTTAGAAAGTCTTAATGGAAGCTCTGACTTTTAATGCATTTTTAGTTTGTTTTTTTTTAAAGGGCTGTGAATTCGACATCTCTTGAGTGCACACATATGCCTAACATGCTAGGATTGACTTGTGCTTATAGTGAAGAGTGGTTGAGTAATTGAAGCAGGATCTAAGAGGTCACTGTTGCACTTTCTCCATTGTGTACTTCAGCCTTGGTTTAGTCCAAACTACTCTGGGTTCCAGGGAAGTGCAGAAAGATGACCCCAGGGGAGACTGCCTGTTCAGAACACCGTTTACTTCATTTTGACACCTTCATTCTGAACCATGTGCGTCAAAATGTTATTGTCTGTAAGAAAAATCAAACAGAAAGCCTGCTTTCCTGTTTTTTCTCAATACCATACAGTCCCTGACCCTGTATGCGGAATTAGTATAAAGGAGGGTACACTGAAATAGCCTTTTGCTGTGGTAGAGACTGTAGATTGGGGTTATGTGTGCTATGCATTTTGCTTTCCTTCAGAAGGGAAGCAGAGTCATAGGCTCTGGTAAAGGATGGAAATGCCGCCTTCCTTGGTGGAAGACCCCAAATCATGCAAGCTGCTCTGCAGGAGAGCTGGGCTCTTTCACTGTTGTGTGAATGATTTTGATTAACTTGGTGTTTAGGCAGAACACTGTATATTTTTTTTGTTCTGATAGGCAAAACAGCCTGAAGGTTTCCTGGTTTTGTTCAAATGGGCTTTTGCATGCTTTCCCCACTTTCAAAATTTCAATGAAATGTGCGAATGGTAATGCATGTAATACTATCTGAAACAGAGTCACACCAGATAAATATTATACCTCCTGTGGTATCACGGTGTGTTATACCCCTCAACAATAATGTGTAGATGGAGTTCAATACTGTTTAAAGGCATATATTTTTCTCCTTACCCAAGTAATACTGTTTTATAGGTTATATTTGCGTTGACTTTTAAAATTTGTTTCTGCTTGTATCATTTGTTACTTGAGGATGGGGCAGGAGGGAAGCTATTTTACTTCATTACACATAGGACAGATGTTTGCTCTCTACTGATTAAGACTAATTTTTAGTAAGATATGATGACAATGGTAGCAGCATATATTCTAGCTGAATAGGCAGCTAAGACAAAAGTAATGAAAATTTGTGTTTATGTGTTTCTGAGGTTATTTTAGATGGTAGCTGTCTCACGTGAGATGGTAGAAGAAGCAAATTAATCTCTTCACTGATCAGAGATTTTTTTTTTTATGTATTTGATAATTTTAATGCCAAAGATTCATCTTTAAGTTGTTTGAATGTTGAATATTCAGATGTGATTATTTGCAGTTTTGTCTTGTGGCATGGCAGTGCATCATGTAAAATTTTCCATTAAATATTTATTGGAAATGTATTTGGAGTTTACTCATTTCAGAAGTAAACCTCAGGACAGTACTTGGGGACCCATGCTGCATAACTGCTATTAACACTCATGAGAATTTGAGGTTTATTTCTTAAAGTTTAAGTTAAAAGTTTTACTTCTAAGAAATGAAATTTCCTCAAGGTGTGCTGTATAATATAGGTAATAACAGAATGTGAAAAAGAATTTAGTCCAGTTTAAAAGAAAACATTTGAATCCATATCGGTTTACTGGAAGCCTGTTAAAATAGGAATGTTTTGTTTATGTTGACAGCTGAAAGGAGTGAATCTTTTAAACATATAGTAAGCAATTATATGTAATGCCATAGTTGCCTAAGGTAATTCTGATATTTTCTTAAAAGCAAAAGCAAAGTACGACATAAATCTATCGGTGTAGCACTGTTCTTGCTTTTACTTGTGAATTCTATCAACTCAAGTTAGTTTGAGCACAGAATTTCACTAGGTTTGCTGGATTACAGCAAATCATTCAATTTATAAGAGAAGAACAGAAGAGAAACGAATTAGTTCTTATCTTGATATAAGTGGATTTGGCGTTTGTTCTGTGGAAACTATAGCTCTGGATCAGTCCCCAGTAATACAGAATTGTGACTTTATCCCCTTGCTCATGCAAACAACCGTTTGTCTGCAGCAGCCATTTTAGTGTATTTCTTTGATTAATAGAAAGCAGAGAAAATTTACCTAAAATTAGCACAGAATATTTTCCTTCTTAGCTGTTTCACAACTGGGAATATATTTGTATAATTGAAAGTGTTTAATCTGTTTTTAAGATCTTTGATGATTTACTATTCCTTCATGCTCTTCCTTACCACATCTGTCAAACAGTGCTGAAAGAAGCTTGTTTATGAGGATCGGTGGATTATTTTTCTTGGGAAGTCATTATTATAGTTCTACTTGTATGATATGCTGGGCAGTCCAGACATCAAACATGGGAGAACCTAAACTCTCACAACTGTGTTTGAAGATGCTTTGCCTTTCAGTAGGTATTTGTGTAAAAGCCATGAAACAGGCTTCACAGTTACTTCTGGTCATTTTTAATATATTTTCAGAACTAAGGAGTAGTAGCGTTCCACAGTCCACAGACTGCTACTTCCTGCTTTTTTGTCTGTGTTGGTCTTTTTGTGATGTACTTGATGTACAATACCAAATATAGTATTTGGTATGCAACAGGGAGTTATTTGGCGTTGATAGTGGTTTTTCTGTTGTGTAATTGGACACTAAAGGAACATGAAAATCTTAAAGAGTTTGTCTTTGTCTAGCTAAGCCAAAACGTAACTACAAAATTTTCTACAGACTAGTTAAGTCTTCTTCACGATGGATTTCTAAAATCAATCTAAAACAGGGTTGGATTGCCCTATGTCCTTTCTTGACCTATGAAAGTAACTCACCGATTCTAAAACAAGTTAATGAAGTGATGGTTTGTTCCTGATAGTGGCTTTGTGCAGTTGTTTTTACCAGGTTATCCAGTGTTGTAATGTAAGTCCACAGTATGTGCTTATAAAAACCCTAATGTTTTAGAAACACAGTAACTACTAGAGATTTCAGTAATCTTTCTGAACAAGATGTTTCAGCTCTTCAACTACAAGGGTTTTTTTAAGCATAAATAATTGCTCTTCACATTTATTTCAGGATTACATTTGTTTTAAACTATCAAAGCCAAGATCCTCCTTAAAGCAGTGTCTGGTGGTGAGCTGTAAGGGTGCTTTGGTTTATGGATATATAATGACTTACCAAAAGGTAGCTTGCTTTTAAAATATTTTAGATTGAATGGAGATGGCTTTAAGCTTTACAGCAGTGTAGATAAACATGAATTTCCCTTCTGTGATTATGAAGAACGTACTTATTGTTGAGACAGTGAAGTTTAATTTTATGGTGGTAGGACACTGTGGTTTTTGAAAGGATGGAGTAAAGGAGAGAAGAGAGTGGAGCTGTCAGCAGGAATGTTTAGGCGCAGACACAGTGGGTATCTCTTCCTTCTTGACTCTCTTACTCCATCTCTTCAGAGCTTTAGACCTCTGCAAAAAGTATCTTGTACAGAACCTTTCTGGTTGTTCTCAGTTCTCTTGCCTGTTGAGTGCTCCTTCCTCCAGGAAGCAAACCTTTCTGTTATCTGAACCGATAGTCATTCCAGCTGAACCCCCAGCTCTGGGAGAGGAGAGCTCTGTTGATACAGAGGATTCAAGGGAGGGGAGATTTTTCCATGGCTGTTGAGTACTTGTGGCAAATGCCTTTTTTGGTTGTGTCTTAAGATGACTCTGCAATGAGTTCTTTGGACACTACAGCTTTTTAAGACTTTGAGCTAGTAGATTGACTGCCAGCATTCTCTTTAATTTTTCCATGTGTGTTTCCATAAAATGGCTTTCATGAAGGAAGTAATTTGATTAATTTATCCATATTACTTGAGTTAAGACCCTATAGTTGGTTATAATGGAAATTCTTACTTAGATCACCCTTTTGGATGTTTTTCTTCAGTATTTCTTATCTTCTTCCTATTCTGCTCTAAAAACATGTTGTTTTAGTTATCATCTGTATCACTGCAACACTTGGATGGAGATACTGTGATTAAATTCTCAGTTCTGCTCCCTACACATTACTCTCAGTTTCAGGAAGGAAGGTGTTTGTTATGGGCTTCCAGAATAGAAGGGAAACTAGTGGAACTTGCATCAGTGTCACTGCTTGACCTCTGTAAGAACTGAAGCCTCACTAATTACACTACTGATGAATTACATACAGTTCAGGAAGATGGTAGCACCTGATCTAAAATTTTGACCAGGATCCAGGCTGATTTGTCTTTCTGTGTGTTAGAGTTAGTACTTAAACAGAGACTGTTTAAATACAGAACAAAATGCTATTGAGTTGCCGTGGCTTAACTGTCCATTTAAACGTCACAGGTAGAAGAGGATGATGATACTGAATCACGAAAGGAAGAAGAGAAGGAAGAGCTAACAAGGTATTCAAGAAGAAAGATTATTTCCAACTGGAGCCGCTATGAGGATACAGAAAAAGAGGGACGGAGTGAATGTGGGGAATCACAGAGAGGAACAGACTTCAATGTTTTGCTTAGCTCAGCAGGTAAGCATTTTTTACTCTATAGATAGTTTTTTAGTTTTGCATTTTGAAACGTTACTGCTTTTCTGGCTGTTGTCCTTGATGATGAAACAGGAACCTAGAATACCATTGCTCTCTGCCTCTAAGTCTGCCATTGATGTATTTAGGAGTGTTCAAAGTCTCCATGGGAGCAGCTCATTTTTCCAGAAAACAAAGAAGGTTGCTAGTATGGCTAAACACAGCAAAGCAGTCAAACAGCTGCTTGCTGTTGTTTGTTTTATCAAAGATTTGTAATCAGCACTGTACAGATGTGTGTATGAATAGCAAGTGATACTCTCCTTGAAAATAAAGCTCAGTTGTTTTCCCCTCTTCAAAGGAGATAATAGAAGGAGGAGGTGGAGGGACACGCTGTACTAAATCCTATTTTTTTAGCTATATCTGAATAGTATAGGCAGTTGCACAAATAACAGTTACCTAAAATTATTTTAGGAACTCTTGATGTGCCAATGTGTTGGAATACCATTCAGTAAAAAGCTGCAAACAATGTATTACAGGGGTTTTTGAGCAATTTGGAAGCTCTGAAATCTCTCAAATCTAAATAACTGGGTTTTTCAGCCACAACTTGGAGGGGTAAGTTAGAAATCATCTACAGCAAAGAAACAAGGATCAGATCTTTCTTTCTCTGTGTCAAAATCTAATCCTGAAGTTCAGTTTTGCATGAACATTGCAGAATTGGGCCTAAATTGCCAGTCTTAATCGTGGGATCAAGAGATATGTATTGACTTCTCTGAATGGTATTGTTGCATGGCAAGCATGGTTGGAGTCCACATGCCTGGTATGGACCTCGGAGCTGGATAGTAACATAGCCTGGAGAGCAAAGGAGATTATCACAACTCAAAGCTCTTTAAATCAAGAGACCTACCCTGAGCTTCATGTCGACATGGTTCAGCTTTTTAAAACAAACAAATATCTCTGTAGTATAAGCTAAGTATAAGCCTTCTGAATATCTTAAAAATGTTTTAATTGTACTTCTGAACTGAGGCTATAAGGTAATACTAAATATTTCTACTAATTTTTATTTTTGGGAAGTTATACTCCAATACAGTTCTTACCAACTCATGTATTATACTCTGTAGATTCTCTTAATGACAGAAATGAAAATCCTGTTAGTTAGTATTCTTAGTAGTTATAAATTGTAAATCTTTCATTTAAAGAGTGCTATATTTTGGGATATATAATTGATTGGTGTCACATAAAGCAGTGTATATCGTGGAGCTTCTTTATATGGTTTCTTTGGCTTATGTGCGAAAGCTGCGAATGCAGTTATCTTTATTTCTAGTGGTCTGGGAAAAGCTTGCATCTCTGCTTTATTTTATAATTTTTACTTCTGTTAGTATACTGCTGTTTAGCATTCTGAAGTTTCACAGTGGATCTAATTCTATTGCAACTAGCAGTTAGGGGAGTATTGGAGAGGGAATGGAGTTAAAGTGCCATTTTTCATGAATGCAGAAGCTTGGAAAGGTCTTTCAATTTACTGTTCATACACAGCAGTGTAATTAACACAACCAGTTAAGAATCCTTTGGCAAAAGCTCAGATTAAAAACCTGTTCTCCTATGTAACATTTAGGTTCATACATTTAGGGTCTTTAAGGAGAATGCTATCCTTCAAGATGAAATTTGGATTTATTCCCAGAAAATATCCTGTAAATTGAATGAAATATGTTAGAAAAAATAGTTTGAAATAACAGTAATAAAGAGAGAATTAATGCTAGTAGACAAAGTTAAATGGAGGAATTCCTGATGTCCAAGGAATTAAAGTTCCAAGCTTGGTATTTGTTTTGTAAATGTGCTTCGATGTGTAATTTTCAGTTAAAATCAACCAAAACGTAACAAAATGAGAAGACTAATATTCTGTGATATGGGTGTCATGTTGATAATTAGCAGGCTTGGAGCTTTTAAAACTAGTACATGAACATTATTGTTGCTTGAATTAAGAAAGTAACAGTTATGGGTGGTTATACTGTATTTTTATCAGTAGTAAAGTGGGATGTTTTTTTCTGAGAGAGGGAGGAAGGGGTTTGCAGATATTTGCAGAGGATAAGTCTTTAGGGTACTTTATGTTTTTCAATAGCTTCTGAAGACACATGCTTTTTTTTTTTTAGGTTTTTTTTCCCTGTACTTCCAGCTTGTCCCTGCCTCAAGCCAGTCTCCAGTGCAGCACTGATTCTGTCTTTTCAATCAAATATTTAGGCCTGATTGGTCCCAGACCATCTCTGACTGCACCTTGTCTCTCTGCTGTCAGCCTTTCCCTGCCTACTAATTCTTCTCACTCTCCTTTGCTTTTGTTGATTTTTATTGTTGTCTGTGCTCCCGATTCCTGGTGGTGTGTCTTTTGTTGAGAGCCAACTCCCTTCCACATATATTCATTAATATACAGAATATTCTGTCAGAATATTCTGTCCTTTTCTCTATCCAGTCCTGGTGATCCCCAGTTCTGAGTTGTTCTGCCTAGGATTGCTCATTTGTCTTAATTTTAATCTCATCCACTACCACATCTTCTTCTTGTGTTCCTCTTAGTTTCTTCCCACCTGTAGTCAATTCCAGTTTGTTCTTTCAAGCTTCCATTTCTAGTCTCCACTATAAGATGTCTTCTCCATCCTCCCTCCACATGCCCTGTCAGTACACCCTAAATCCTACTCAGTTACCCAACAACGTGAAGTGACAGGCTACTGTTTTCAACTATGGTAGGGATATCAACATAGGTGAGGTTGCAGAAATATTCAAGATGACACTTCTTGTTCAGTGTTGCACCTAATACCTGTTAAATGAAGACTTCTCTTAGAGTGAATATCTGGCTCTTCACTCATAACCAAAGGTTAGAGGAAAGTTAACTCAGTTGCGTTGCCCGCTGAGATGACATACGAGAGGTCACTGAGGATGGACTGTTTGGTGATTGGTTGTTAAGCTGCAGCAGATCTTGCCAAAAAATATGTACAAACTCTGATTTCTAGAAGCTTGTAGCTTGGATAAATCAGGTCAGATTTTTCACAAAATGAGCAGAGTGTATGTCTCTCATTGGAAGACATTGTTCAGCCTGATTTCAAGTTACTGATTCAGGGCAGGAAAGTGATTACAGTTTTTCAAAGGAAGAACTTCCAAGGGCTTTCTTCTCAGGTCCTTTCACAGTAGAAAAATGTGCCAGCCATTCTCTGACTTTTTTTGAAAGGTGGTGGTGAGGGGAGGGTGAAGAAAAACTACCTGAAGCGGACAATTGACATGGAAAATTTCAGACTGAATAGTTAAAAAAGCAGCTGAAAATAGTTTTAAGAAAGAACTGCCAGGTGGCTTTGATAACAGCTGATGTCACTAGCCTGACAGAGCTCCTTTGTTAGGGCTTATTATATTTGTGTGTAATGTAGGGTAATAACTTAAGTTTTTAAGTCTGTTTCTTTCCTTTTTTTTGGCATTATATGTGTGTGTGTATATATATATATATATATATATATATATATTTTTTTTTTTTTTTAATTAACCTTGACTATAGCAAAGCAAACTTTTCTGTAATGCTTTTGGTGTCTAGCTGATGTAAACTACAAGTCCATTGTGAAGCCTTGGGGGAATATGTCTTGAATCAATTTAGTAAAAATACTGTCGAAGCGTAAAGAACAAGAGAAGTGGAAGTGATAGGATAGCCTTACTTTGCTAGGAGAATCTTGCCATGTTTGAAGAGCTGCCTTCATTTTTTGACTGATGAGTGTTAAGTGTCCCAAAATACATTTAAGTCCTTCATAGGTTTTTGGCTGTGAATAGATGCTTTAGGTTTAAAAATATGCGTTTAAAATCTCATTACAGAGCTGATCAAAATGTATCCAGGGACCCAATCAATTTTCCTTTAAGTATGGTAGGCATTACCAGTACAGTAGCCAAAAGCATGCTTCAATAGCAGTGTGTTGAGTTGCAGGATATGATGATTGTCAAGATGAAAATATGTAATTTTGGACATTAATTTTTTCCCTTTTTTTTTGGCCATGGCTGCATAATTCTGATGGCCTTAAAGGGTAAGAAAGAGATATACTGTGTAGATCAACCAAAACTGGCAGAATGGTTTTGATATTGTAAGAATTTGTATAATTTCTGTTGGCACTTGAATGCAATACAAAATGTGTAATAAAAATCAAAAGATAGTCAGTGGAGCATAACAGTAATGAACAGTAAGTATAGGAATTGTGAGGTAGCAGTTACTTTCTGTTCTCTAAAACCCTGTTGCTTTGGTTTTTTTTTTTAACCTCTTGCTTTTGGACCTCTCTGTTTAATTTTGATACTTCTATTGCAATTATTGCTGCATTTTTGTCATTTCATGGTCAATACATACATGAGAATTAGCGGCATACACAACAGCACTGACTGTCTTGGAAAAGCTGAACAGATTAACTTGTGGGGCAAGGCTTGTGTTAAAAATAGGCTTTCCTTCAATTTTTCAATCTGGCTGAGATTTGGAGGAGTAAATGAATTTTCTTATTTTTGATGCTGATTCTGCTCAAACAAAAAGAATGGCAATGGCAGGGCATTGTTCGGATGCCAAAAAAGAATCCTTTGAGTTTTAAAATTCTAGAGAATAGCAAATATCACTTTTCTTTACAGAACTGCCTAATTTACTGTTGATTTGGATTACTGTATATATCAGGGGTCCCACTTTCCAGTGGATTTGCCAACCTCCACTACGTTTCATTTTGTATGCCTGTTCCTTGAAATTATTTATGTCCACATGTGTCCATAGGACGCTGTTTCTGCATCGTTGTTTCTTGTACCATTGAGATACCTAGACTAATGAAGAACTGTTGTTTATCAGCTCTGAAAGCATTATTGCTCTGTGCAAAAAATAGTGAGAAGTATTTTTAAATTCGTTTTTGCTTGTCTTTATGACTGTGTATGGAATGTGTTTTCAATGAGTGCATCTTCTTTGGTCAGAAATTCAACAGATGCAAAACTTCATGTCATCTCTGTTCAGAGGTGACATGAACTCT